TTAGAAGACGATGATATCTAGGATTCTCATAGTTAGAGAGAAGTCAATGTATGGCTTCAAAGCTTCAAAGAACAGACTGACTCTTTTGTTAGGGGTTAATGCAGTTGATGACTTTAAGTTGAAGTTAATGCTCCTTGACCATTCCACAAATCTTAGGGCCCTTAAGAATTATGCTAAATTGATTCTGCTTGTGCTCCATAAATGGAACAACAAAGCCTGGATGATAGCACATTTGTTCACAGCTTGGTTTACTGAATATGTTAAACTTACTATTGAGGCCTACTGTTCAGAAAAAAGATTCCTTTCAAAATATTACTGCTCATTGACAATACACTCGTCACCCTCTGATGGAGATGTACAAGGAGATGAATGTTGTTTTCATGCCCACTAACACAACATCCATTCTGCAGCTCGTGGATCAAGGAGTAATTTTGACTTTTAAGTCTCATTATTTAAGAAATACATTTTGGGTCGGGCACAGTGGCTCATGCCTGTAATCTCAGCACTTTGGGAGGCTGAGACGGGTAGATCATGAGGTCAGGAGATCGAGACCATCCTGGCTAACATGGTGAAACCCCGTCTCTACTAAAAAATACAAAAAACTAGCCGGGCGATGTGGCGGGCACCTGTAGTCCCAGCTACTCGGGAGGCTGAGGCAAGAGAATGGCGTGAACCCGGGAGGCGGAGCTTGCAGTGAGCTGAGATCCGGCTACTGCACTCCAGCCTGGGCGACAGAGCCAGACTCTGTCTCAAAAAAAAAAAAAACAAAAACAAAAACAAAAACAAACAACAAAAAAAAATTAGCCGGGCGTGGTGTTGGGCGCCTGTAGTCCCAGCTACGCAGGAGGCTGAGGCAGGAGAATGGCGTGAACCCGGGAGGCGGAGCTTGCAGTGAGCCAAGATGGCGCCACTGCACTCCAGCCTGAGCGACAGAGCAAGACCTCAAAAAAAAAAAAAAAAGAAATACATTTTGTAAGGCTATAGCTGCTATGGGTAGTGATTCCTCTGAAGAATCTGGGGAAAGTAAGTTGAAAACCTCCAAAAAGGATTCTCCATTCTAAATGCCATAAAGATCATTTGTGATTTTTGGAAGGAGGCCAAAATATCAACATTAACAGGAGTTCGGAAGAAACTGATTTCAGTCCTCTTGGATGACTTTCAGGGAATCAAGTCTTCAATGGAGTAAGTAACTGCAGACGTGGTAGAAATAGCAAGAGAACTAGAATAAAAAAGTGGAGCCTGAAGATGTGACTAAATTGCTACAATCTCATGATAAAACTTGAATGATGAGTTGCTTCTTATGGATGAGCAAAAGAAATTGGTTCTTTAGATGGAATCTGCTCCTGGTGAAGATGCTGTGAACATTGCTAGAATGACAACAAAGGAATAAGAATATTATGTCAACAGGTGATATAGCAGCAGCAGGGTTGAGAGGATTGACTCCAATTTTTAAATTCTGCCACGGGCAAATTCCTATCAAATGGCATCACATGCTACAAAGGAAACTTTCATAAAATGAAGAGACAACCTATGTGGCAAACTTTACTGCTGTCTTATTTTCAGAAATCACCAGGGCCACCCCAACCTTCAGCAACCAATGTTCAGCTGATCAGTCAGCAGCCATCAATATCAAGGCAAGACCTCCCACCAGCAAAGAGATGACAATGTTCTCAAGGCTCAGATGATCGTTAGCACTTTTTAGAAATAAAGTATTTTTAAATTAAGGTTGGACATTTTTAGGCATCATGTATCGCGCTATACATAATGCTGTATACAGCACATTTTAGCAATGAAGTTTTTTTTTCATTGTTGCCCAGGCTGGAGTGCAATGGCACGATCTTGGCTCACTGCAAGCTCCACCTCCCGGGTTCACACCATTCTCCTGCCTCAGCCTCTGGAGTAGCTGGGACTACAGGTGCCCGCCACCACGCCCGGCTAATTTTTTTGTATTTTTAGTAGAGACAGGGTTTCACTGTGTTAGCCAGGATGGTCTCAATCTCCTGACCTCATGATCCTCCCGCCTCAGCCTCCCAAAGTACTGGGATTACAGGCGTGAGCCACCGCACCCGGCCCCACAATGAAGTATTTTTAAATTAAGGTATGGACATTTTTAGACATGTATTGCACTACACATAATGCTGCATAAAGCATTACATATAGTGTAAATATAACTTCTTTATGCACTGGGACACTGAAAAATTTGTGTAACTCACTTTATTGAGGCAGTCTGAAACTTGAATCTACAATGTCTCTGAAATAGGCCTGTAGTAAAAACAGAGCCAGTCTCCATAACTGACGATTTCTACTATTTTTGTCAATCGGAGCCTCAGGGAAAAAGGAGATAATATGAGAAGAGAAGCAAACTCCAGATAAAGATACATTTTTAGAATTTTAAAGACCAGTTTTTAGTTTGCTAATGAACTCTCTTGAAATCTGATGTCTGACCCTTAGAAGAGTTGATGAATTTCTGGCCTGATGTGCATATTTTAAGAAGGTCAGTTTGGACTGACATTTATCACAAGATTCAAAAAAAGCCTTGCTTGTCACCTGGACTTGGAACACAGCTGTCTGCCCCTGCAAGACTTTGCCTTTGCTGCTGCCAAAGCAAAGCCTCTGCTTTTTTTTGAATTTTTGAAATCACAGATCCTAATTCCTGGGACTTTAAGCTAAATGCTGACACTATCTGTTATGAGCTGTTACAGCTTCCAGACAAGCTGTGCTCAACTGAAAGCAGGCATAGGTTAGGTGAATAGAACTTCAACTTGAGAACCAGTGCAGGTTTGAGACACTCCTCTGTGCAGACATACGAAAACATCAAGGATGCTGGCTGGACGACGGATGCTATGAAAACATCACGGATGCTGGCTGGACCATCTGGGTCACATAGAGATGCTGATGGAAGAAGGTTTACTCTCTGATGGGACCACCTGAAATTGAGTTGCTCCGTTCTGTGTTTCTAATACACCTGCGGACTGTGTTCCTAACTTGCCATTACTGCCAATAGTTACACCCTGGGGGAAGCACATCACGGCAACTGGGATGGAAGAGATCACAGTGACCCCTCTACCACCCCGACAGATCAGACTATCAGGCCCTCTCTGGGTCTTACATCCGTTGACCTGTTGTGTTCTGGATTCGCTGCCGTTGACTATAATGAATTGACAACCTGATTCTACTTCCCTCACCTTTCTCCTGGTACACACAATATACAAGGCAGTTTGATTGTGAAATGCAACTGTTCAGAAAGGCATTGATCTTTTCTAGGCTGCTCACTAGATACATGATCAGGACAAAAGAGGTGGGAGGTTATGTCAATCGTTTTGAAACGGTTTGAAACTTCAGGATTCTGTCCTGATTTCTGAACATGACGTGCCTTTCTGGTTAAGTGGCATAAAATGGTTTTTCTGTGAAAATGATTTTGTCCCCTTGCCTGATACCTTTCAGACAAAAGGTCTGATGAGAGGAGGAAAAAGTGACTAGGAAAAACCATAAAGTAATGATTACAAAATGGGAAATACTGATTTTGTAACAAGGGAAAAAAACAAAACACTGGGGAGGTATGGGTGGGGACAGGGAGGCATTAATGACCTCTGTTTTTAGAACTGTTTCTGGAAGCTTCCTCCTCTTCATGAGGGAAAACTCCCCATGCTGCCTTTCCAAGCTCGAAGCAGGCACTTTGAATTCAAACTGACTCCTGAGCCAAAGCCAGATGGGGCCAGCGCTGACCGTGGCACCCACAGCTGGCCGGCTCCAGACCCCTGCGCTCTGTACAGCACACCTATAAATGTCCACACACATGGGAGGCAAATGAAGCCATGTCACTGACAAGCAGAGCTGTTTGGAACTGACTGTCTCAGAAAGTCTCCCTAAAGCCGAGGACTGAACTGAATTTATCTGGACTGGACTGAGAACCCTAGGGTAGGAGGCCCCACCATGAGAGGTCACGTTGTGGCACAGCACTGCTCACCTATCCTGCCTGGCCCACGTATGTCCTCCTTGGGATACCCTAGAATTGTAAATTCTGTTTCAAGGGGTGGCATGTACACCGTGTACTTCTTAGGGGTTTACCTTGACTACCATGGAACTGCCCCAGCCCTGGAGGCTCCAGCTTACTGACCAGAGTTGTGCTGCCCCTGAACTGATGCCTCAGGCCAGAAACAAAAGGTTTATACAGAAATTCAAGGAGGAAGCCACCTGGCTTTCTAAGATAGACCTTATGGTTAATGGGGTTCATTTTAGCTGGTTAAGCCCAGGACCCCTAACAGGGATAATTGCAAGTGAGTTCCACCCTATGCATGGGATCCTACTGATAATTTTTCTACACACTTCCCTATGACAACACTTCACGTGTGTTGTCCCAACTCATTGCTAAGAAAGTTAGCCACATCCTGTGTGACTTCCCAGGAAGAGAACTCTGGACTCGGCTCCCTCTGGACTTTGTCCCATGCACCCTTCTCTTTGCTGACATTGCTTGGTATTCCTTCTCTGTAAGAAATCATAGCTGTGACTATGAATGTATCTGAGTCATGTGAGTCCTACTAGCAAGTCATTCAACCTTGGGGTGGTTTTAAGGACACTCCAACATATATACTTACTAACATTCCAATGGCCAAAGCAAGTTCCACAGAGAAATCTAAAGTCAAGGAGCTGGAAAATAGACTTTACCTTATTAGTGGGAGGAACTGCAAAATCTCATGGCAGAAAATTTGGCTACAAAGAGAGACAAAGGTCTGGACCATTAATTCCACCTACCACCGTTCATGTAAATATATAAAGAGATTAGAACAGCCCTTGACAAACTAACAGTGTCGAATAAATTATTATTCTACAAAGCCATCCCACATATTTCTCTTCTATGTTGATTTCTCCTTTCTCTAATCTTTTTTCAACAGTTGTTATTTACCTATATGACAGAACTTAGTTTTTCTTCAAGTTCCTTACGAAAAAGATTGTATCCCCCAACAACGCTGTCAACCATTAAGGTAAAATATCTGACTCACTGAGTTTCTTGCCACCATGTGAAAGTCTTCCCATGGCTAAGTCCGAGGAGAGCTGACTAGTCTGGCAGGCAAGGCGTCATGAAGCTATACAGGCAGTCTCCAACTTTGTCTTCCTTCCTCCAATAAATGTTCGTTCATGTGCAAGAGGCTTTTCACATGCTGAGCAAACAGTAGAGAACAAAGCAGACAAAACTGAGCTAACATTCTAGTGGTATTGATCGAACCACATATTGATAAAACCCTTCAGGACTAAGGCATTCTAAATTCTGACCAAACCAACAAGAACTCAAAATGTAAATCAAATGTTCATGTACCATTTACAAAGGAGATGTACCTTTCCAGTGATCAACATATCCCCATTAACATATTTGAGTAAGATTCACTTTTTTTTAGCATTTAACATTCCAGAAGTTGGGTTATATATTACAATCAATGACATCTTAAAATTAATGTGCAGGGTATTTTCTTCATGGCTTCCAAGATCACCTGCTTATCTGCATTAGCTGTTGCTAAAAGCTAGAAGGCTCATCTGTGCAAGGTTCTCTACAAACCAGGCCTAGTAGTGGCTCACAGCACCTCCCATCCACTAGCCAGAATTCAGTCCCATGGACACCAAACTGCAAGGGAGATAGGGAAATGTAGTCTAGCTACGTGCCCAAGAAGAGAAGGAACCTGGTTAAGTAAAAAACCAGACTCTGCCGTACTCCTCCCAAGGCAAGACAGGAAAAAACACAGCCATTTTATTTTTTAAAGTGTTCTCTTTTCTGAACTTTAAGCCAGCCACCATCCTATTGGGCTATTCTTGAAACAGATTTATTAATACAGTTATCAACTTAGTGATCTCTTTCACATTCAGTTATGCCTTCCTGATACTGTACCCTAGTTTCCCTGATTAGAGTTTTGTACAACTCTGCCATAAGACCCATTTTATCTTTAACTAACTTCTGCAGATCACCTAATATATATGCAGTTTACTAGTTTGACATTTAATCACGGGTGTGGTTTGGCTGTGTCCCCACCCAAATCTCATCTTGAATTGTAGTTCCCATAATCCTCAGGCATCATGGGAGGTAACTGAATCATGGGGTGGGTACCCCTATGCTGCTGTTCTCATGATATGGAGTGAGTTCTCACGAGATCTGATGGTTTTATAAGGAGCTTTCCTCTCTTTTGCTCAGTACTTCTCCTTTCTATCATGTGAAGAAGGATGTGTTTGCTTCCTCTTCCACCATGATTCTAAGTTTCCTGAGGCCTCCCCAGCCATGCTGAACTGTGAATCAATTAAACCTCTTTCCTTTGTAAATTACCCAGTCTCAGGAATATCTTTATTAGCAGTGAAAGAACAGACTAATACAGTCACTATGCTAAAGTTCTGAGGACATTCTATTGAGCACAGGTGGAAAAGATACAGACCCAAGTTTTCCTAGGGATGCAGTATAGTGCTTAAGAGTATCAGCCTCTAGTGTCAACTTGCCTCAGTCAACTCCCAGCTCCACCCCTTACTGACTGGGCCAGTTAACCTTGGGCAAGTTGCTTTCATCTTTTTGAAGCACCTCTTAGGAAAACTGAGTTAAAGGAAAAGATGCAGGCAAAGATCTTAAAACAGCACCTGGCCCATAATAAGCCCTTTAAAAAATGGCAACTGTTACTAATTATTGTTACTTAAAGACCACTTAGTTCTCAATAACCTCTAACCAACCACTGAGCTCCATTCTGTGTCCAGTGCAGATTGTTATTCCATCAGCTAGCCAAGAAGTATATATTTTCTTTTCGAATTTTACACACTCCTGCCTGTGGTTCAGAATAAGCTTTTCTTATAATGACCTTTTCTGACCACCCAAGGAGGTAGCAATTGTCTCTTGGTTCTTTGGGTCCCCCCTGAACATAGAGAATGAGGGGCATCTGTTGACCCAGATGCTGCAGGTATCAGTCCCAGTCCTCAGTTCCCAGAGGACCCCCCTCACCTCATTTATTCTTCCTTCTTTTCAGCCCTCCTGAACCTTCCACTCTCTTTTCAACTCAGCTGTTTACTTTGGTAGCATCACTCAGTCTCTTCTAGCTTTCTTCCCCCACTAGTATCTAACAGTTAGAACAGCTCTACACAGCACAGGCACACTAAGGCAATATCCTCTATTTAAAAAAAAAAATTTTAGAGGCAGAGTCTTGCTGTCACCCATGCTGGAATGCAGTGGCAAAATCATAACTAACTGTAACCTCAGACTCCTGGGCTCAAGTGATCCTCCCACCTCAGCCTCCCAAGTAGCTAGGACTACAGGTACCTGCCACCATACCCAGCTTTTTTTTTATTTAATTTTTGTAGAGACAGGGTCTTGATATATTGCCCAGGCTGGTCTTGAACTCCTGGCCTCCAGCAATCCTCTTGTCTCTCCCTTGCAAAGTGCTGGGATTATAGGCATGAGCCACTGCACCTGGCCTAATTTCTTAAATTTGGAATACATAAGCAAAAAACAAAGAAGCATAAACATATATTAACAGTTTTGTACCAACCAAATAAAATGTACAGAGATAATCACATGCCTGGCAAAAGAGTACAAGCAATTAGGTGTTTATATAATTAACAACTCTATAAGAAATCAAAATAGCCAGGTACGTGGATCACGCCTGTAATCCCAACACTTTGGGAGGCCAAGACAGGCGGATCATCTGGGATCATCTGGGATCGGGAGTTCAAGACCAGCCTGGCCAACATGGTGAAATCCCATCTCTACTAAAAATTACAAAAATTAGCCCAGCATCATGGCAGGTGCCTATAATCCCAGCTACTCGGGAGGCTGAGGCAGGAGAATCGCTTGAACCCAGGAAGCAGATGTTGCAGTGAGTCAAGATTGTGCCATTCACTCCAGCCTGGGTGACAAGGAGCAAAACTCTATCTCAAAAAAAAAAAAAAAAAATCAAAACAAAATTTAAAGTTTTTTTTTTTTGTGCTAACCCCAAATGTGTGAAAGACATAGATATTCATGGGATGTTGGGGGCTCCGTTCCAGAAAACTTAAAATAATATAAAATCCTTATCAGTACATCTTCATTTTTGGTCACAATTTTCATTAATGATATTTTGTACATGTTTGTCTTCTATTTATTTTCCTTAACAATTAATTTCACGTGTGGTTGACCCATGCGAGGTTCATTAAACATTGAACTGAAACAAAGCTTTGCTGCTTTGAATGTGCTTAAGATTTCTATCTTAATTTTGATTCTAATATGTTTATACTTAGCTTCCTATCACGTGTTAAGACTTCTGTTTTTTTCAATTTCTCCTCATGTTTATTTAAAAAAGGATAAAATATAATAAAACAGTGAGTTAAAATTTTTTAAAATAACAATAAAGTTCTTTTTTTCCCTTTGCTGTACTTTTAGTATCTATAAATAACACATGTAGATTAGTCTTTCAAAATTTAATCCTCTACACACATAATTAAAAGATGAATTGATTGCATTTGCTGTCCCAGCAGTCACTTCTTGTGCTTTACCCACTTGTACCATCCATCCATGTTCCTCCCTTCCTTCTCTTGTCTCCATCCCAATCACAGCAGCATGTAGAGAAGTATATCCAGCTGTTTTTGTTTTGTTTTGTTTTGTTTTGTTTTGTTTTTGAGATGCAGTCTCACTCTGTCACCCAGACTGGAGTGCAGTGGCATGATCTTGGCTCACTACAACCTCTGCCTTCCCGGTTCAAGCAATTCTCCTGTGTCAGCCTCCTGAGTAGCAGGGATTACAGGCACCCACCACCACGCCCAGCTAATTTTTTATTTTTAGTAGAAATGGGGTTTCACCATATTGGCCAGGATGGTCTCGAACTCCTGACCTTAGATGATCTGCCTGCCCTCGGCCTCCCAAAGCACTGGGATTACAGGCATAAGCCACCGCACCCAGCCCAGCTGTTCTTAAAATGCAAAAAGTGGCAGTTCCAGGTTTGAGGGATACAAAAGTTGAAACAGCAGAAACTCAGGGATCTGAGGCAGTGAATGACGAGGCCAGGAAGAAAGAGCACCATCATCACTCCGCAGAGGCTGGAGTCAGGGCTGGAGCTGAGAGAGAGAGAAGAAGCTGGCCAGAGACAGGCTGATAGGTGATAGGGCAGGGTGGGCATTCTCAACATCCAGCAGTCGGATAAACAGAGGAGAGTGGAAGGAAAAGTTTGGCTGATTATAAAATCTTGAGCTCAAGATATTGAGATCAGGATGGAAATAAGCCTGTGGTTAAAATGGTCCACCAGGAAATGACACAAAAGATGCCTATGGTTAAATGAGCGTATTCTACTGAATGTGAGGCTGGATGTTAGTTGTTTTTGTGGTCTTTCGCTATCGTTTTCAACTTTCCTGGGCCAGGCCCCCTTTTCCAAGGGTACAGCCTGGTTCCCATTCTAGAGTTCAATCTCCATTCAGGGGTACTTTGTTTTTAAGCATACTCAAATGCACACCTCTGAGTGTGCTTCACCATCCTACACACTCCACAGCCCACCGACTTTCTGGAACTGTTCAGCCCTCAGTGGCCTTGTAGCAAATGCTTCCACCACTCCCTTTTCCTCCAACATACCAGCCCAGCCTTATGGATTCTTGCCTTTGAGAGGGGAGGGTCAAACATGAGGAATGAGAGCCCGAAACACCAACAGCCAACTGTATTTCACAGGTTCACCCAGGGCCAGCCTGGTTTACTTTCAAATATATGCAAATGTATTTTAAAACTGTGCCACTCCGCTTAAAGAGTCTACCGTCCTAGCCATAAAACAAAACATAGGTGCACCTTAAATACTGGTTGATTATTTGACCAAAGGCAGGACTCTGCGTCTAGGCATACATACCCACCTACATTCTCTTGTACACAGTACCATGGCCATTTCTAATATGAAATGTAAACTTACACATCAAAACAATAGCTATAAATATGTGGTGGGTGTGGTCTGTTCCTTAACCCTACTAAGGCCTATATTGTAAGAGAGCAGGTATTTCCTAAGTAGCCCTTGAGTTCACACAAAAATTTTGTTTTCTAATTGGGCCTTTGATTTGATTTTGTCTTCTAATTTGGCCTGACATACCAGCCAATGTGGTCACCATATTGAACAGCACAGATCTAAAAGGATTTCCTGAGTGTGGAAAAATCTCTGTGGGTCTCTAGGATGGTTAATTTTGTGCATCAACTTGGCTGGGCCATGGTGCCCAGTTATTTGGACAAACATTATTCTGGATGTTTCTGTGAAAGTGTTTTGGGATGAGATTTGCATTAAATTGGGAAATGTTGAGTAAAGCAGACTGCCCTCTATAATATGGATGGGCCTCATCCAATCAGTTGAAGGTCTGAAGAGAACAAAAGTCTGACCCTGCCCTGTGCAAGGGGTAATTTCGCCAGTAGACAGCCTTCAGACTTTACATGCAACATTGGCTCTTCTTTGTCCTACAACAGCTTTTGGACTCGAATTACAGCCTTTCCTGAGTCTCCAGGACACTGGCCTCCCCCCATCAGATTTTGGACTCACCAAGCTTCCACAAGCACAGAAGCCAATTCCTTAAAATAAATCTGTTTCTATAACCATACATACACATCCTATTCATTCTTTATCTCTGGGCAACCCTGACTAATAGTCTCTAAGTCAAACTATGATACCTTCTTTACTAAGGAATTCCTTCTAATAGTTCTATACCCATTGGTTTTCACAACATGAATCAGGGCTGAAATTTCTGCATATTTTTCTCAGATCTGCTCCAGACGACTTCCTTTCCCATGGCTAAAGGGGGACTGGAGAAGGGGGAGAAATACTCAAATACATTTTTAAAAGATTACAGCTAATTATGTAGAAACACTGGCCCTTAGACCTATCTTACCTGGCATTTTATAATCTCCCTTTCACACAATATAATTTAATTCATATTTGGGGGACAGGAAGATTGATCTACACTGTAACTTGTCTAGTTTCTGGAATGATAAAGAAAATAAAACTTCAATCATATAAAATGTGTTTATACTCCAGATTTTTAGTTTTTTCCCTAGTATTTGCATGTCTAGATATAATTACAAACTCTATGTGATATGCTTTTCATGTGACAATCCAATACAGTGCTTTCCTGAGCCCTTAAAAAATAAAAAAATTACAACTTAAAGAAACAAAAACTGCCTACCGTAGCCGCTACAAGGGAGGCTAAGGCGGGAGGATTCCTTGAGGCCAGGAGTTCAAGGCCAGCCTGGGCAACATAGTAAGACCTCCGTCATAAACACAAAAACTCCCAACCCGAGTTCGAGACCAGCCTGACCAACATGGAGAAACCCCATCTCTACGAAAAATACAAAATTTAGCCAGGCTTGGTGGCACATGCATGCCTGTAATCCCAGCTACTCGGGAGGGTGAGCCAGGAGACTCGCTTGAACCCGGGAGGTGGAGGTTGCGGTGAGCCGAGATGGCGCCATTGCACTCCAACCTGGACTACAAAAGCGAACTCCACCACAAACAAACAAACAACAAAAAACACCTCTCAAACCTATGGACCACGCTGACTTCCAGCCATCAGAAAGCAAAGTTTTCCAGCGTCCCGCAAGTTCTAGGGCCGCCTTCTGACTCTTCCGCCCCGCCTCCGCCCTCTGCACTCTCCCAACTGGCGGGAGGAGGGCGCCCTCCCAGCCAATCAACGTCCCACAGGGCCCGCCTCCCGCGCGTCTTTCAAAGGTCTTCTAGGAACCAATCAGCGATTAGAGGCCGAGCCTTCGGACATCCGAAGGAGGAGTAAGAAGCTAGGAGCGGATCTGATTGGTTGCTGGAAGACGCCGCGCCCACCTCACAGGAGGACGAACCAGTGAGCTAAGCGGAGGGGGCGCGGGCTCGGCCCGGACACCGGTGAGTCGCCGGCGCTGCAGAGAGAGGCGGCACTGGTCTCGACTTGGGGCGGCCAGCGATGAAGCCGGTGAGTCGGACGTGCTGGGGCTTGGAGGAGCGAGGCGGCAGGGACGCAAGCGGTCCCGGGGACCCGATCCTGGGCCGGAGGGCAGCCGTAGCCTGGTAGCACTGCGACTTGCGCCATAACCGTCCTGTGGGTCGGGGAGGTGACTTTGCCACGCACGGGCACTAGAGACGAAGGAGCAGGGTCGGTGGCCGACGAAGGAAAGACGGACATTCGCTGTGCACCTGCTGTGGGCTGTCGCCTGTCCCCTGCGGGGTCTCATAAGCCTCCCAGCCAACGAAGGCCGAGCCTCGTTGTACCGAGGAAACCGAGTCGAGGAACTTGAGTGTCAGCGATGAGTGGGCGCGATACCCCAACCCCGAAGGGCGTCCGGCCGCTGCCCTGCGCCCACTGGGGAAACCATGAGTACGAATGCCACGCCGCGGCTTGTGGGCGACACCACCGCTGTCACCATGCCCCAGGGCCACTTGGCAATGCCGCCCTTTTCCCGTGACGTTCAGAATCACCGGGCCTGGGGAAGCAGAAACGTCCAGCTCTGTTAGGATGAATAAACCTGGTGAATGGGCCCCACAAATTTGAAATATGAATCATTAAAGCTGCTTTAAAGAAAAAGCAGATGCAGGCAAGACGCTGAAGATCCCCCACCTAACCCATATTTCCTACTGCCGGGGTTGACAACCTACTGGAAGCCTTTCCTTTGGGTGCAGTGTATTATAATACTTCAGATGGAGCCAAAGCAATAGAAATGCATAGCCTAGGGCTGGGTGGTGGCTCGCGCCTCTAATCCCAACACTTTGGGAGGCCAAGGCGGGCGGATCACTTGAGGCCAGGAGTTGGAGACCAGCCTGGCCAACACGGTGAAACCCATTCTCTACTAAAAATACAAAAATTAGCTGAGCGTTGTAGTGCACGCCTGTAGTCCCAGCTACTCAGGAGGCTGAGCCACGCGAATAGCTTGAACCCAAGAGGCAGAGGTTGCAGTGAGCTAATATCACGCCAGTGCCCTCCAGCCTGGGCAACAGAGCAAAACGCTGTCTCAAGAAAAAGAAAGAAAAAAATAAAATACATAGCCTAAATTGGCCGTCCTGTGATCTTCAGTACCAAGACCGTTGTAAAATACAGCTTCAGAGCTAGAAAGGGCATTAGGTGGTTACACTTGCTAAGCCCTATGTTGCCATGTGGAGGGACATCAGCTGTCCTTCACTCCTGGCCTGTTTCTCCACCTGTCCCTATTGAGTTATCTGATCCCTGAGTTTGGAAGGAACCGAACACCAGTATCTCAACTTTTTCTTTCCTTCTCTCTTGGGAGCTACCTGCCTGCCTGCAGAAGGTGCTTTCTGGTCCACTCTCTGGCACACAGGAGCCCTAGACTGTCCATGGCCACCTGTGACTGGGTGGATACATTTGTCTAATTCTGGGTTGAACAAGGGGCAGGCGCATGTGGCAACAGCTTTAAGCTGCATACTCCATTTGATATACAATAATAAAGCTCCATTTCCTTATCTTTCAATTGGTTTCAACTAGGGAGTGAGAAAAGGGTATGGGTTTTGTTCTGTTCTGTTCTGTTTTGTTTTTCTTTTTCTTTTTCTTTTGATTCTTTAAAATTTCAGCAGGGAGTGTAGAAGTCTTCCATGTCAAAATGCTGCAGGATTAAGTTCCAGCTGCTTAGATCAGCATACAAAGTCTGTCTCAATCTCTCTAGTGATTCATAAAACTGGCAGGTTATTTCACCTACACCACCCCCACCAAACTACTAGGCGATGTGGGGATTGTTTTTTGAGAAAAGGGATGGGCAAAACTACTTCTTCATCTCCTCTACTCCATCTCTATTTTGATATCACAGTTCCTCAATACAAGGGCCTTGGCTTACCTTCTTTCCTTTCTTTTTTTTTTTTTTTTTTTTTTTTTTTTTTTTTTTTTTGACAGAGTCATGCCCTGTTGCCCAGGCTAGAGTGCAGTGGTGTGTTCCTGGCTCACTGCAACCGCTGCCTCCTGGGTTCAAGCGATTCTCCTGCCTCAGCCTCCTGAGTAGCTGGGATTATAAGCATGTGCCACCACGCCCAGTTAATTTTTATATTTTTGGTAGAGCCAGGTTTTGCCATGTTAGCCAGGCTGGTCTCAAACTCCTGACCTCAGGTGATCCGCCCGCCTTCTCCTCCCAGAGTGCTGAGATTTACAGGCATGAGCCACCGCACGCTCCCTTTCCTATCTTCTTAAAAACCTGCTCTTCCTTCAAAACCCAGCTAAAGCATTTCCTCTGTGAATCCTTCTCCAGCTCCCTACATGGTCAGTCACTCTCTTCTCTGCTCCACAATATATAGTTCTGCTTCCATTTCAGCACTTACATAATACCTTTCTTCTGTAATCTATGCACACATCTATCTCTCCAGCCATACTGAAGACAGGCTATCTATCTTATAGATCTTTTGCATCTCCAGTGCTTGGCAAATGAAGGTGGTCAAGAAATATTTGTGAATGAATAAATCTCCTCACTTTATAGTTGAGGAAAACTGAGATCCAGAATCAACTGAAGTAGCTTGTCAGGGAGTATACAGTAAGTGGCAGAACCAAGATCAGAAGCCAGATGTCTTGGTTCCCAATCCAACTCTCTTTCCACTATGCAGTGCTGTAATTATTAATAGAAAGGTAAATAGCAGTCATTTATTACTAATATTGCTGATCTCGGTGATATTCTGGATTGATGACTGAATACATTGCAAATATGAATTCAGTGTGTGTTTAGACAAGTACTAGCTATCCTAAAACTACAGAAAAATTCTTTACAGTTATTTAACATAACATTTCTTTTGAAGCCTAGTTCAATACAAACAAGTGAGTTTGACTCATCAGACGAAGAGCCTATTGAAGATGAACAGACTCCAATTCAGATATCATGGTATGTTAGCATTTCTGATCAATGATGAGCTAAAGTCACAATCTACATCATAAATGTAAATTTAGTTACATCATAATCTTAGTAGAATGTAGTTCACATATTGAAAACATTAAGGGTTTATCCCCCTCTGATTATATAATTCTAATTGTTAATGGATCTTCTAACTCCATGATTCATTTACTGTCTATAATATAGAAAAAGACCCTTTTTTTTTGGCCCTTCTTTATACGTTGAGAAAACCTTAGTAGAAGCAAGTAAGTAAGAAACAGAGGCAGGATTGAAATAATCTCCCATTTAGTACCAAAATCTACTTATTCTTTTATGACAAAAGAATAATATACCAAATATGAGATGAGATATTTAATCATTTCTCATTAAATCAAATCCTAGGTAATACTTAGAAGTAATGTCACAGTAATGCATCTATCAACAGACTGTTTAAGATAAAAGCCACATCAATGCAATAACAAAAAGTTTCTACATAAAATCAGCCGTTTAATCTTGGCAAGTGACTTATGGTTATACCAGATTCTCTACAATGAGCAATCAAATACTTTCTCTCATCACCGCAAATATAATAGTCTCTCTCCTTAAGAAAGCACCATCCCTACTGTCAGAAGAGAAAGACAGTCCTAAAGGTCTTTTGTCCTACCATCAAATAGCATTAAACCTTCCATTTTTACTTAAAACTCCCATTTAAACACAAAAATTCATCGAATTTTCAAAGTCAGGTGGTATTTAGATGATGCCTCCTGTTTTCCGTTAAATCATCTTCTGACATGCAGACAAGGTGAGCCTCTGTCCCTGAGTGCTGCAGACTGGGAATGTGATTTCTTGATGTTATTTCTTTTTAACCAAAAACCTGTGGTTTTCATCATATGAAATCATATCTGTTAAGGAAGTTCTACAAAAAAAAATTTTTTAATAGTAACGTAGAATAAATGCTGGGGAGAAAATTGTCAGTCATTTTCCAATTTATTTTCCTAAATCACTAATACAAATTATCTCAGGTAATATACCACAGGATAACATAAGTACACCATATACTACCTTTTGGCAATCTAGACATTATTATCTTTAAGGTAAATTTAAATTAACTTGGCTTTTTGTTTTATTGTTTTTGTAGAGACAGGATTTCACCATGTTGCCCAGGCTGGTCTCAAATTCCTAGGCTCAAACAGCCTGCCTGCCTTGGCCTCTCTAAGTGCTGGGATCATAGGCATGAGCCATTTGTCATTTTTAATACTTAAATAACCAACAAATAAGTCCCTGTTTTAAAACTTTGTCTTTCTATTTTTTGTATGTGACCAACATATTGATATTTAACTATGAATTCTTATTTTGTGACTACTGTAAAACTTTA